AAATATGTGCCACTTTCGATGAGGACCGCACCCGTTGAGTGGAAAAACGCAACTATGGAGCCGTCGTGGCGACACAGAGTTGAATGACTAAAGCCAACTCCACGCTTGTATGTGTTGCCCAGCAATGAACTCTGACTCGAAACTGACACACAAAAACTTACATTCATGTACACACGTGCACACATTTGCATTGAATATAAAGATGTTAAAGGATAAATGAGCTAAAACAAAAACGTTTAGAACACAAGAAAGAAGTGAGAAATGAGAAATGGAAAAAAGTGTAAATGAAGTGATGAGAAATGCGACCGGAATCAATAAACCAAACCGAAAGCTAGACAAAGCGTAAGCGTGGGGAAGGAGCCAAACACCGACGGAAACTACGTCATGCCAAATAGAAGAGCAAGCAACAAAGGTGGGCAAACAAGAGAAGTAGTAAAACTTCAATAGCGCATAGAGTGCCGAAAAGGAGGCGTGTTAAATAAAAGTTCTTGCTACAATTCCTAGGCCGCCGCCCGTCCGTCCCCCCCTTCCACGTATTGGCCTCTACGCTCTTCTGTGCTCTCACTCTCTTTACCATTTCTACATATGTTTCAACACTTTTCTTTTACACCAATTGCCCCTGCTGACTCACTAACCGGCTCACCGGCTGGTTGTCGGCCAAAATGTAGGCAACAAAAAGAAGCGAAGCAGGCAAAGTGTAAATGAAGTTGTGTGCTAAATGTAACACAAGCACATATCTACTTCCAGCAACAAAATGTACTGCTATCGCAAGCGCACAAAAACTTCAATTACAACCGCAACAATGGAACTGCATTTGTTTTAGTGTAACACAAGCACTTCACTTCCGGCGCAAGGGCACGTGCCAACCGCAAGGTAACCCCAATGTTTTTGCGAGTAGCTGAAGTAGGTAAAAGGACTTGACGATGCAATGGGGTAGGGCGGGTGATGGAGAGAGAAGAGAGTGTGCGGGTTAAGGTGGAGAATGCAAGTCGTAGTGGCGTATGCATTCTAGTGGAAGTGACGTTGTGCTAAAAGAGAGTTGCTGCTTGTTAACACCGTTATTGCAGTTTTTGCAGGACTGCAATGAAAAATTGATCGATTGGTGATTGGTCTGAAAAAACAAAAAGCTTGAAATAATAGAAAAAATTAACTGAAAAAAAATGTAATTAAATTAAATTAAAGTAAAAAATAAAATAAGATAAAATAAAATAAAATAAAATAAAATAAAATAAAATAAAATAAAATAAAAT